GGAACACATGAGGATGCTGAGCGTTCGTGCCGCTGCCAACTTTCACCTCTCCTCTCTGCTGCCGCTGTGCTCATGCTGGCTTGCCCTGCACCGGGCACTGGACACTCGACATTGGACCAGGAGCAGCAGATCGATCGGCATGCATGCTGATTAACGGGCGCCGTTGCAGTGCAGTAGGCGGTAGCATCACTCCACGGGCGTGTACCGTCACAACCAGTGGCGAACCTAGCCGAAAACATCATCGAATCATCAGAATCAACTTCGTTACATGATATATGATTTTTCTTAAGCTTGACATTAGTTTACTATAGAATTTACAAATTTGGTCGAGGTCGACGGACCGAGAAGAACTCCTCTAGATCCGCCTCTGGTCGCAATGCAAAGGCCAATACTAACGTGGACGTAAATATACACCTATTTTTTTTCCTCGAATACGTAAAATATTTGGGCATCTTTGTAATGAAGGTAGGAATGTTTGATATAAACAACACGCTTCTGTAAGTCTTTTAGGAGGTCTACAGGATTATAGTCGTGGGCTGGTCCATCATAGCATACAGATACAGATTTTAATATAACACAAATGATAGACAACGAGGATAAGGGTAGCGACATAGCCAAGGAAGAGGGCTTGCGCTTCCGCTGCTGCCAGTGCGATTCATTCTCACCGCAGTGGAAGAGCACTTCCAGCGCTTCGATGTTGAAAGCGATGGGCTCAGCCTCGTAGAGCGCCTCGTAGGCCTTCTCTGCCGATGCGCTCGGTGTTGACAGACCCGTGACCAAACCCAAACGCTGCATGATTAGGATCTCACATCTCACCTTGCTCGAAGCAGGCACCCCATTTGGAAGCATATAGTATTTTAACTGGTGATAGATAAGATATTTGTTGGTTTATTAGCTAAGGATCCAAACATAACCTCAAACGGAAATGTTGTGCTGACATCGCACCGGTTCGTGGGCCGCGACACCAGCCTAACGGTCTAACAGTCATATCCTCTCTGACACTCGGATGCATCCGTTCTCTAGAAGGCTTCCAACACTCGGACGCTTCCATTCCACAACGCCACCTGGCGTTCTCCACGACATCCGAGTGAGTGCTCGCTGGCCGGCATCTCCACCGCGCCCGAGCACGGCTGCCCGCTTTCCTCCATCTCCATCGCGCACCCAACCCACCGCGGCATTCTCTAGCGTGCGGACGGCCTTCTCCACCGGAGCGATGACAGTTCGCGCTAGATTCGTCGCAACCTTCTCAACTAGGTCTATCACGTTCTTTTCCACCAGAGCGGCGAGCTCTGCACTGGTGAACTCCACACGCCGACGAGCCTCTATTCCCAAGCAGCAAGGAGATGTTGCGCTGAAAGCGCATGTTGCAAACATATGTGTCGGGGACCAATACTAGGGTACCCGAAGAGGAGGGGCTAATGGTCATCAACATTAATTCATCCGAACTGTCAAGAGCGCGACTACGGCTCCAACCGACCACCAGGTGTGCGGGCTCCGCTTCGACCGACCTCTAGGGAGCCTTTGGGGAAGGACTCCGCCTCGCCCGACCCCGAGGCTACGGGCTCCGCCTCGCCCGACCCTTGGGTTTGCGCTCCGCCTCTCCCGACCCCGAGGCCATGGGCTCCGCCTCGCCCGACCCTTGGGTTTGCGCTCCACCTCGCCCGACCCCGAGGTCGTAGGCTCCGCCTCGCTCGACCCTTGGGATTGCGCTCTGCCTTGCCCGACCCCAAGCCGTGGGCTACGCCTCGCCCGGCCTCTGGGGGAGGGCTCCGCCTCGCCCGACCCTGAGGCCACGGGCTCCGCCTCGCCCAACGGAGACCCATGCCGTCGCCAACACTCCAGGTCCAAGTGTATGGCCCTGGGTCAAAGCTCTGACACCAGGGAGAAGACTGGCACGCCCTGATGTAACCCGTGGCTACGAGGGGCCATACTCGAGGATTCACATCAGGTACAACGTCAAGCATACCGGTGATGTTCTGCCTAACCCTCGTACGAACACTAACAGGCGTGTCAGTTCACCACGACGTCCGCTAGGACGGAGTGGAGCGCCATGACCGACAGACAACGCCTGCGCATGGCGCTAGTGACAGACAGGGTCGGCAGGACCCGCATGAAGGATAAGGACCTAGCGACCCTGAAGGCCTTTGGCTCTCTCTCGTTCTTCTCTTTCCCTCCGCTGTAACCCGTGCTTTCCCTTGGCCTATAAAAGGGAAAGCAGGGCGCCCCACGAAGGAGATCGATCAATTGAGGCCAGACCCGATTGAACCATTACGAACCCATCGAACCTCGAACCGACCAGAACACAATACAAGCACACGGCTGAGCAGCAACCGAGCTCTCAGCACCCGTTCACTCTTTCCACCAGAGACTTGGGACCTGTCCCTCTCTCGCTCGTTTGTAACCCCTACTACAAACTTTAAGTGCTAGTAACACGAGCAGCAGCAACGAACTGGACGTAGGGACATTCTGCTTGAACCAGTATAAACCTCGTGTCCTCTAAGCACACCATCCGAGCCAGATGCGTAATACTAGAAATTTACTCGTTGGTGGTAACTCGAAACACCGACAATATGTTTTTAGGTGTTTCATATGTTTCAAAGTTATGTTGCAAGTGTTTGTATCAATGTTGCAAAAGTAGATCAAGATGTTACAAAAGTAGGTCGGGATGTTGCACATGGTGCGATGACTATGCACGTATGTTTCAAGTGTATGCTCCAAATGTTTTATTTATATTAGACGTATGTTGCAAGTGTTTTCATCTGGATATTGCAAAAGTAGATCTGCATGTTGCCAGTGTATGTTGTCAGCGTAAGTTTCAAGTGTTTCAGGTGTTTAATACGTCTGTTGCAAGTATTTCATCTAGATGTGGAATATGTTTGTAATAGTTTTCAAGTGTTTTTCAGGTGTTCAAGTGTTTCAGACGCTTGTTTCAAATGTTTCGCCTATCTTCTTTTGTATGTTGCATCTGTTGCATCTGGATATTTCAAAAGTAGATCGGGTATTGCACATGGCATGCGCGTGACGTGGGAAGCTTCTGGCGGCGCAGCCGGGCCTGCTGGTGGGGCGCTCTAGCAAGTCCTACTCTCAAATAATTTTTAGTAGCTAAATGTTAGCCGCATGAGATCCAAATACTTCCATAATAGTCCCATAATCGACTTGCTAATTACTACTAGGGTACCTTATTTTCATGTACGGTACATGCGTATAGCAGTGACCAAATGGATGAAGACTTGTAAGCAGGCAATAATATTTGTTCCACTTCTCTCGATCTACCTCCGCTCCGCATGACTTTTCTTGCATGAGGCATGAGCCATGAGGTTAAAAGTAAGAACAGTGATCATTCGTCGGAGTGGACGAATGTTTTCCTTGTCTCTGCCACCAGTACAATCATAACGTTGACTGCCAGCCCTTTTTGGCATTGCCGTTGTACCGTCGCTGTCGTCGTTAGGAGACCAAGGATTACACCACGAGAAAATTTGTTATGCGCCATTGAAATCTATACACATCTCTTCTGTGCCCTTGGAAATCATGACTTCCCTTCTATGCCATTGGTTTGTTTTTTTCTCCCTTATTTGCCATTGCCGTTAGATACTATGCAGAATTACCGTTACCTGTTAACAGAGAGAAAGATAGCATGCAGAATCACCGGCGGCTACGTGCTAGAACACGACACAGCGTCGGGTGGCTGCATGCTGGAACATGGCGCGTCGTCGGGCGTTTGGAAGATGGAGCATGGAGCGGCATCAGCACACCAGGTCCCTTGTGTGTTGAATGCTCGCATCTAGTTGCAGATGAACGCAGGCGCAAGCAGGCCGTGCAGCAGCGGGCTTTAGCTTCTCGGATAGCGACGGCGTGGCCGTGGCGTGACCCGTCTTCCACCACGCCCGCGCCATTCGCTGCCGCAAGCCCCGTTACAGTGCCTGCTCCACTTTTGAAGCGCTCACCTTCCGCTGCGTTCGTGCCCTCGCCTGTGGGCTGCGGTGCAGCACGCATGCCCGTAGCTCCCTGCGCTGAGCCGCCCCTTCTCAGCCATCCTGCCACGCGGCCTGTTGCAGGCCACGACCGTGGCCATGCACGGCGTCCGTGCAGAGAACAAACCATGCCCGTGCACGGGTCCCGCATTATCGGAGGCATCGAGCGCGAGGCATCCGGCAGTCGCATTGTCATGCGCAGGCGCCGAGCGCGACGGAGACTATGCGACTAGGAGACCACATGTTTAACGGTGTGTGCATGGAGAGACTTAAAAGTAACGGCAATGGCACATAGAGAGAGAAAAATATAAACCAATGGTAATGAAGCAAAACTCTAATTTTCAATGATATATAAGGCAAGGGTATAGATTTCAATGGCATTCAGCAAATTTTCTCTTACACCTAATACGCACAAATCGACGAAGACTAGTCAAGGGAGCCGCCATGCTGACAACACGCACTTAACGAGCTGTATATAATGAATATATATGTACAGCTCCTCTGATCTATATATATATATATAGCGTTAGAATCCCTGGCGGGCGAGCTGTAGACTATATATATATATCATCATATATATATATATATATATATATATATATATATATATATATATATATATATATATATATATATATATATATATATATATATATATGTTAGAATGTTGTATAGAAGTCGTATATATATATATATATATAAAGTAGGTATGGAGAAATGAGGAACTCACACAGATACGCACATGTTTTTGAACTTTCCTAGTCTTTCAACAATTATTAGTCTATAATTAATTTATGTTTAGTCTTCTATTAGCATCCAAAACCTAGCTAATTTAAATTTTTTAGTCCAGTGGATCCGAACAGTCCTACGGAATGCCTGACTGCCGGCCACTTGACGTTCGTCTACCAAGCTATATATAGGCACCTGACCTTGCTAGTATAGAAGAAATTTGTAGGTACTGGATTCTCTTGTGCAACCATGACAAGTGCAAGTGCTGCAGGCAGCGTGCACGAGATCCGCAGCGCCCAGCGTGCGGATGGCCCTGCAACACTGCTTGCAATCGGCACGGCTAACCCAGCAACCTGCATATCGCAGGATGCATACGCTGACTATTACTTCGGTGTCACCAAGAGCGAGCACCTCACCCAGCTCAAAGAGAAGCTCAAAAGACTATGTAAGCATGCATGGAGCTCAATTTGTTTGTAACGTTTCATAGATCGCATCGCCGTTCATTCATATATATCTGCAGGCCAGAATTCAGGCACGGAGAAGCGTTTCTTCCACCACGACGAGGCGCTCCTGGCCGCGCACCCGGAGTTCCTGGACCGGGCGTCGCCGTCCCTGGACGCGCGGCTCGACATCGTCAAGACCGCGGTGCCGGAGCTCGCGGCGTCGGCATCGAGGAAGGCGATCGCCGAGTGGGGCCGCCCGGCCACCGACATCACGCACCTCGTCGTGGCCACCAACTCCGGCGCGCACATCCCAGGTGTGGACTTCCGGCTGGTGCAGCTCCTGGGCCTCCGCGCCTCCGTGCGCCGAACCATGCTCTACCTCAGCGGCTGCTTCGCCGGCGCCGCCGCGCTGCGCGTCGCCAAGGACCTGGCCGAGAACAACAGCGGCGCGCGCGTCCTCGTCGTCTGCGCCGAGCTCACCATCATGATGTTCGCTGCGCCCGAGGAAGGCCACTTCCAGACGCTCATCAACCAGGGGCACTTCGGCGACGGCGCCGGCGCCGTCATGTCGGCGCGGACCCCGGCCCCGCCGAGCGCCCGCTGTTGGAGATCATGTCTGCCGCACAAACCATCATCCCGGAGACCGAGGATGCCATCACCATGCAGCTCACCAGTGGCGGCCTCGGCGGCAGTAGCGTCCACAACAATCTCGGGGTGCTCGTCGGGAGCAACGTGGAGCGCTGCCTCTTGAACTCGTTTTCACCGCTCGGCATTGATGTTCCCAACTGGAACGACCTGTTCTGGATTGTGCACCCGGGCACGGCAGCATTCCTACGCCAGATTGACGCAGTGTTCCAGCTCCAGCCCGACAAGCTGGCCGCAAGCCGACGTGTCTTGCGTGAATACGGCAACATGTTCGGCGCCACCGTGATCTTCGTGCTCGACGAGATGTGCAAGCATAGACACAGGGGTGGTGGTTCTGGTCCTGGTTGTGGTTGTGGTTCTCAAGTGGTCGACGGCCACCTCGACGAGTGGGGTGTCTTGATGGCATTCGGACCAGGAATTACCTTTGAATCGATGGTGCTGCGCGCCCCAAACAACCGCCTGCACAATGGCAAATACTCCATCCGTCCCAAATTATAGAATTTTAGGTTTTGTTGATACATTTTTTTGATATATTTATTTTATTATGTATCTAAACATAAGTACTAACTATACCGTTTGGATCCACTGGTACTAATTTTAGCTACTATATTTTAGTGCTAATGAATTCAAACAGACCTAATTAGAACGGAAGTCATGTAGTATACATGGCTCCCATTTGTTTCCGTGGTGAATAAATTTCCGTTTAGTTTTGTCATGTTTCTTCATTTTCCAAAAGAAAACAAGTCGAGGAATAGTTCATCCCACGAAGTAGTGCTACAAACAAAAAAGAATTGTCAGATCGAATTGACGGGTTTTGCAGCCGCCTATAGAAAGACACATTTATATAGCAAACTGTTGGGGACGCATCCCTAGTAACATGGTCCGTCACTAAAAATAATATTACTATTACTAATTAGAGGCTCCAGCTCTCGCTCGACAAACTGGCCGTGAGCCGATGTGTTTGTGGCGATGTGTAATGCACGTTAGTAAATTATGCAACACGGTTTCCAATGTTTGGTGTACTGTTCTTATTTGTATTGTGGGCTATATTTGTTGTTTGTCTACATAAGGTGTTGAGTTCAAGAACTTTTAGGGGCAAGAGTTTGATATCTCCGACGAAACCCAGTTTGAAGTCAAGTGTCCTTGACCATACTTGCACCATATTAATTTTATGTTGAGTTAGTGTAGTTGGACCATTAGTTGCATGCTGAGTCTAAATTTGAATCCTAAGTTGGGATTTATTAGAAATTCACATGTCAGCCTTGGAACCTGGGTTGGTTGGGACATTACTAATTTTTGACCCTATCGCATCGCTTTGCCTTGCATCAAACGCAAATCTGATGCAATAGGTGGTTGCTATTGCATTAATTTTGCAAATCTGATGCAATAGGTGGGCATTTCAGATTCTAGGAGCTCGTACTTTGGTTATAGCCATGGGCCAAATATTTTTCCGGTTTCCCCCAAAGGGGCACACATCCGCTGAAATAAGGTACTTCGAGCTCATCCGGGTATTGAGAGATTTACGTAGTCAGAGGTTTTAGGATCAGACTGTTGACCCTCGTGAATACCCCCCGACTGGAGGGGGTGGTCGATAGTGAATGAATCACCACCGGCCCGAGTACCCGATCCGAGTGTCGATCACTCGCCACACCGGCTCGGGTGATTGTGCGGCCGGATTTTGGAACTTTTGGTCCTGTGGTGTCCATGTTACGTGGATGGGTTCCTTCTCTACGAAGTTGAGGTGTCGGTTTGGGCGGTTCGTCTCCCCACGCGTCTATCTCGGAAGTTGTGCCTCTCAGAGATCATGGGGGCGTAGCCGGTCCTTAACTCCCGCTTTTGCCCGTGGAGACTGCTGGATTCCATCGACCGTGTGCGTCCCCTGCCTATAAAATAGAGGAATAGAGGAGGGGAGTTAGTATATTTGCATAGTAGCCTTTGCACGCCACCTTTCCTTTCGTTGCATATCTTGTGGTCATCAGATCTTGCCTACCGTCCATGGCCAGAGAGAAGCGCCAGTGAGAGGAGCCTGAGGAGGGATCTGCCAAGAGGGGCGTGCCTCCCTCCGCTGGGCCTTCCGCCTAGGCTTGATGGGGTTCGGGTAAGGATAGATCTTGCTATTGACTTCGTCGGGGTTGAATCTGATGCATTTCTTGGAGTAGTGGTTTCTCGTTGGCACACTCGATGCCGTGGCCCACCGCCGTCCGAGAGGCCCTGTCGCTGTCACATCCCTTGGCATCGCAGGCCGTGCTGTTGCTGGCCTCGCCTTCTTCCTTCGATGATGAGGAGGCCGAAGGAGACGAGCACGACATCCATACTGTACGAGAGGAGCTGTCCATGGCCGGGCATCCCCAAGAATGGGTGTCGGGAGGTGGAACGGCTGAAGGAGTGCCTCACGATGTCCGAGACCGCTCTCGGCGCTGGGGACATGGAGGCTGCTGACGCCAGGGCCGCCAACGCGGCGACCTGCACCGAGCTCACCGGTGAGTTGAACTTCTTTGCTTCTTTTGCGAAAATTGCTTCTTGTCTTAACTTTGAACCTCCGTGTTTCTCAGCGATTCAAGGGTAGCTAGGTGCTGTCCTGGCTGAAGCGGCGGATCTTCGCCGTGCTAACAAGGAGTTGGCTGGCAGACGGGTAGAAGTGACTCATCTCCGTGATGAGTCAGTGGATTGGGCGCGTGGCGATGCAGCCATGGCGTGAATTAATAGCAACAACGACGTGGCACTGGAGAGGGCAGTGGAGGCCGTCGTCAGGTTGGTGCAACCGACGGGGTTAGACCTTCGTGAGCAGGCTCTTGGCCTCCCGGCGTGAATCAAGGTGACGGCACATGGCGTTCGCCATGGGGCCACAGCAGCCCTTGCTGCTACTCACCTTCGTCTTCAGCCGGAGGTGGACTTGCATGCGGTGGAGCCTGGGTTCCCATCGTGGACGGAGGTGCCCGAAGATATCGACGTGAGATGGCTAATAACCGATTTCGGTGTCGCTGCCAGTGCCATTGCGGCGGTTATAAATGTAGAGCAAGTCATCAAGGACACTCCTCGTTGAGGTCAGGTCCTATTGGTTTGCTTTTTGTGTAAAATATTATCTAAATAAAATTTTGCTTTGCAGACCGGTAGTTGCGTGATTGTAATTGTAGCCCCCGAGCACTCGGGCAGGTTAGTATAACATGTTTGAGTGCTAAGACCACACACATTATCGTAACTATTTTGGCGTTGCCATGTCAGTGCAAAGCCCCCGACCACGAGTGTCGATTGGCCAGTGTGGCTTTACTCGAGAGGTGATGTTGTGTAGCATTTGGACATAGCCTCCATGCTGTTCTTTAGGAAAGTGTTTCCCTAGCTGTCTGAGGCGTAAAACCCTTTCATGCATAGCAACCATATATATATTTATTTTTTTTAAAGGTGGGAAAGCAACGATTAGTGCGTATTGACAACACTGGTGTTGTTTGCCCTGTTGTCTTTGTCCCTCCTCTGCTCGGGGTTGACCTGGCATTTTTTTGCAGTTTGCACTATTGGTACTCTAGGCCCCGGTTATGGGGTTCTCCCTGGCGGCTGGGTCATCTTTCTCCTCTTTTGGTTTTGCTTCTTCGGGCAAGTCGGGTGCCTCTAGTGGCACCAGTGTAGCCGGTGAAGCAGAAACTGTGGAATCGGGAGGTAAAACACTGGCCGGGGGTTCTGGCGTGAGCCGGTGCTCTGGGGATCGAGGCGGGCGTTAGGGCATTCCCAAGCTTGTCTCTTGTTTATCCTCATGAGCATGTTTTGACTCATCCCAAGATTAGGTCTTGTTGGGCCTGTTCAACAGCCAACCTCTCGCGGTCTTGAAAACTACTCGTGACGGTGATGACACCGCGGGGGCCTAGCATCTTGAGCTTGAGGTAGGCATAACTGGGGATTGCCATGAATTTGGCATAATAGGGTCTCCCGAGGATGGCGTGGTAAGGACCCTCAAAGTCTACGACTTCAAAGGAGAGTGTCTCCTTGCTATAGTGTACCTAGTCACCAAACGTGACAGACAGAGTTATCGTGCTGAGGGGCATAACTCATCGTCCGGGGACAATCCTATGGAACGGAGAATGTGGGGGACGCAGTTTGCTTGTCTCGATGTTCAGCTTCTCGAACACATCCTTGTAAAGGATGTTTATGCCGCTTCCTCCGTCCATGAGGACTTTGGTCATCTTTACGTCTCCCATGACCGCACTGACCACTAGAGGGAACCAACCGGCCTCGATGACATGATCAGGGTGGTCGTCCCTATTGAAGGTGATCGGGCGCTCCGACCATCTTAAATAAACATGAACTGCAGGCGCAGTGGCAAAGATGAGACGTCGGTTTACCTTTTCACGATGGCGGCCCTCGTAGG